GATCAGGAGGTGCGGCGATTCTACGACTGCTCAATCGACTCCGATACCTGGGCCAGCAGATTCAGCGTCCGCTCCCGGGAGACTTTCCTGTTGCCTCCGGCGGTTATGGGCGATACGAGTATCTCGGTGGCCCCGAAGGAGAATAGCTCCATCAGCTTCTCTTCCACCTGGTCCTCGTTTCCCGAGAGTACAACGGCGTCCAGCATACCGTCGCTCCACATTCCATTGGACGCCTCCGGGAAGCCGGCGTCGGCGAACATGCTGGCGTAGAAGGGCGCTCTTGGATAGAACCCTATCTGCTCCCGTGCGGCGGCGTACACCTCGGCGGGGTCGTCGTGGACGCAGACCGGGGCGTGGGCAATCAGGGGAGGCACAGGACGGCCGGCCTGTTCTGCTCCGGCCTTCATGGCGGGGACGGCCACGTCCCGCAGGTAGACGCCGGGGCACACCCAGCTTATGGCGTCCATCGGACTCGGCGCCGCACAGCTCAAAGGCCCGTTGCCGCAGGGCGGAGGCCATAACCGGCACGTCAATCGGTGAGGAGATGCGGCCGTGGACATTGTAGTATCGACCTTCGTAGTCCACCTGACCCTCTTTGAACAGGGTCTTGAGGATCTGCAGGTACTCCCGCAGATGGCCCAGGGGGGCTTTGAACTCCATTCCGTAAGTCCCCTCTATGACGGCCTGGTGGCTGGGCCCCACTCCCAGCCGGAACCGCCCCGGGTCCAGGTTGTCCAGCGCCTGCACCTGCTGGGCCGTGACAAGGGGGTGACGGGGGTATGTGGGGATAATGGAAGTCCCCAGAAGCACGTCCCGGGACTTCATCAAGGCAGCCGCGAAGAAGGTGATTGCGTCTCCGCCGGCCCCTCCGGTGGTGGACCAGGCGGCCGGGATGCCCAGGTAGTCCAGCTGCTGCACCTGGTCAAGAGCCTCTCTGCTGCTCTGCGCCGTCAGGGCAACCCCTATCATCTTTCCGTCCATATTCATCCTCACTTTGCCTCTCTGAAAGCTGCCGATACCTCCTCCGCCGTCACCACATCCGCCTGGCGGGGGAATATCTTTTCCGTGAGCACGCGGTGCACCTCCGGGTCCTGGTCGCCGCAGCAGTCCGCCACGACCACCAAGCGATAGTCCACGTCGGCGGCCCATCGCACGGCTGTGAGAACGCACCCGCTGGTGGCGACTCCGAAGAAGACCAGAGTGGTTGCGCCGATGGAATTGAGCACTGCATCAAGGTCGGTTGTGGAGAAGGGGCCGGTGCGCCGCTTGACCACGACGGCCTCGCCAGGCTGCGGAGCGACCGCCGGGTGCACCTCTGCGCCGGGCGTGCCCTCCACAAGGCGGTTACTAAAGCGCTGGCGGTTGCGCGGCAGCACCTCAGGGTGTCCCTCCCGGAACTGGACCACCACGTAAATGACCGGGATTCCGGCCTGCCGCGCGCTCTCCAGTACGGAAGCCGCTCTCTGAAGAAGGTCCTCTCCGTCCGTGGAGTAGTTGCTTACTATATCGTTCTGGTAGTCCATAATGACCACCGCTGTGCTGTCCCGTTGAAGGTCCAAGTCCGCCATGTTCTCCTCCTTTGGCTGCCCAGAAGCGGGCATTTCCAGATCTTCCTGAGGGTAACGCACTGGCATTATACTCCATCCGAGTTGCCTGCTGCAGAAAGGGTGGAGCCAGTGGAGGGGGTGTGTCAAGGGATGTATAATGGCATTACTACGGAACAGGAGAATATTGCATGTCTGATGCAAGAATACACGAGGTCAAGCGCATCATGGAGCTGGAAGGCAATATCATTGAATTCATCAATGGTGACGAATGGGGTGTCAACGAGTACTTGGCAGAGGGCTGGATTCTTTTGCAGGTGTTGGTCGGCCGGGAGTCAGGCGACCTAGGATCCGAACAGTATCCGAAATATATCCTTGGCTGGACTGGCGAGGATGATCCTCCGAGTGACCGTGCCAAGGAGGAATCGGCGGAAGCTGGCAGACAAGCTATGGAGAGATTCAGGAACCTGAATTGGCAGGGCCCATAGAACGAAACTTCTATCTTGCGGAGGGTGCGCACCACCCCTATGATGTGGCTGGCGACCTGGTGAGGCTGTGAACTGTCCCGCCTCGGCTTTAGCAGGCTGGCGCTCTGTCCCTATGCTGTAGCTACAGTGGTCGTCTAGTCGTGGTTGGCCATGTCCGTAGCGGGTCAAAAGTGGCCCCGCTCCTTTATATCACGCATTACGTCTTACAACACAAGGGGTTGGTTGGCGAGTTTCGGGCAATTTTGTCACATTATGTCAAGTGCCCTTCCTGACCCCCTCCTTAGCTAGTCCTCCTGGACTGGCCAAGGCGTGCGTAGCGGATGCGTATCTCAACACAGTGTTGGACAGGTGACGCTTGCCGAGACATATCATCGGCTCTTCGTGGGAGTGTATCATTCGCAAGGATTCTGACGTGTATCGCGGTGATATGGGGGGTGCTCTGCGAACGGGTGGTCCTCTCGTGTCAGGAGTGTGCTGATCTTAGGGAGGCCCTGATTGGAAGGATGGAATTCTCAAAAGATTCTCAGGGGTAATTGAGTGGGGCGACGTTGCGTCTAGCGGGCCTTGGGACCGCCCGCCTGATGGCGGCCATGTTGCGCGCGGACGTGATCAAGTTTGATGCCCCCGGCTCTCAGGCGACACGTCCCGACGCGTAGGCCCGTTTCCGGGCGACGTTCCCCATCCGGAGACCAGCGGCCTCTTCCTCTATCTGAACCTGAACAAGCGCGGCGTCACCCTCGATCTTGCAAAGGCCGAAGGCAAGCGCATGTTCAAGGAGTGAACTTTCGCAGGTGGCGCCGACATTCTCATGATGAACAATCACTGGCCGGGTAGCGTGGAAGAGCGGTCTGGGTTACGACATCTGAGCGCTCTAAACCACGGTCTCATATGATGGTGTCCGTCAGCTCGTGGCGTTCGGGCAGCAGGGCCTCCACGCGACTCCGTCGGGCAGCGAGTGTGCTCTTCCAATGGTGGCCGGGCTACGAGACGTCAACGAGTGGTGACCGACCTCGAGAGAGCAGTACCGCGTGCTGAAGGGGTCTGTGTACCGCTACTATCGCGCGGGATGATGGCGTGCCGCGTGCACACAGCGTCGCACTCTCCAGCGCGAAGTCACGGCGAGTGCAGTCGTTGACATCTCCGAGCACGAGGCCATCTTCAGCACCGAGAGGCCTCGCATCGCCCAGTACACCTACACGGGCGAGATAACGCCCCGGGAGGGCAACGGCATCCCCAGGTTCAAGCCGTGCAAGGACGGCTTCTTTGCCGGGCTCGGCGTCCAGAGGGACGACATACGGTGGGGTCGCCTCTGCAACATGATGGGGAATCCGGAGTGGACCAAGGACGAGATCTGCTCGACGCCCGATTCGCGACGGGAGAATACGGATATTCTGGAAGCCCACATAATGTCCTGGATGATGGACTACACGAAGCAGGAGCTTTTCAAGATGGGGCAGGAAGCCGGCCTGGGCGTCTTTCCCCTCAACACCGCCGCCGACGTCTACGCCGAGGAGCAGTACCGCTACCGGGAGTTCTTCCAGGACGTGGAGCACCCCATTGCCGGCACTTATGAGTACCCCGGCATCTCCTACAAGCTCTCGGCTCATCAAGTCCGTGATCCGCAATCGCGCTCCGTTGCTCGGCGAGCACAACAGCGATGTGTTCGTCCGCGAGCTTGGGCGCTCGCCGGAGGACCTGGTACACCTCTACCAGTCCGGCGTAATCTAGGGGTAATACAGCAGCAATCGCAGGAGGTAAGCCATGGGAAAGCTACCATTTGAAGGCGTAAGGGTTGCAGATTTCGGATGGATTCTCGCCGCCCCGCTTGCCGGCCAGTGGCTTGCGACCCTGGGCGCGGATGTCATAAGAATAGAGAGCAAGGCTCGACCTGACCTTGTCCGCAGCGGCGCCGTTGGGGGTGTGATCCCTGGCCCGGAGCCGTCGTGGAACAGGGTGGCGACCTTCAACTCCGTCAACTACAGCAAACGTGGCTGTACGCTGGACCTGACCAAGCCGAAGGCGCAGGAGCTAGCCTACCGCATAATCGAGAAATCGGACGTCGTAAACGAAGCCTTCACCACTCCGGTCGTGGAGCGCTTCGGCCTGACGTATGACAAGCTGAAGTCCATCAAGCCGGACATCATTCTCATCGCCAACTCCTCCCTGGGCAAGACCGGCCCTCTGGGAGATGTGGCGGGAATGGGTCCGGCGAACCAGGCCTTCGCAGGCCTGCCTTCCATGACGGGGTACGAGGGCGGCACGCCTACCGGAATGGGTGGCACATGGCCCGACTACACCGTCGGCCTGACCCTCGCCTACCTGATAATTACCGCCCTGTATCACCGGCAGCGCACGGGAGAGGGCCTCTACATCGACCACTCCATGGCCGAGACGGTGATGAGCATGATCCCCGGCCAGCTTCTGGACTACTCGATGAACGGCAGAGTCGCGGAGCCTCGCGGGAACAGGGATGACCTGGCTGTTCCCCACAACCTGTATCGATGCCAGGGCGACGACAAGTGGGTCGCCATCTCCGTCCACAACGAGCAGCAGTGGGCCGCGTTCTGCAAGGCCGCCGGGCATCCGGAGTGGCTGGAGGACGAGCGGTTCTGCGACTCCTTCAGCAGACATCAGTAACGTTAAGGAGTTGGACGCCCTCATCACCGAATGGACGCTCACGCTGACCAACATGGAGGTTATGGAGCGGCTTCAGGCGGTGGGCGTACCGGCCGGTCCGTCCCAGAACAACGAGGCGCTGATAAACGACCCTCAGCTCCAGTTCAGAAACCAGTTCATCGAGACTGACCATGTAGAGGTGGGACGGCGCGTGAGCATGGGGCTGCAGGGCCAGTTCAGCGCCATACCGGAGCGAAGGTACAATGCCGCGCCGGCGATCGGCCAGCACAATGAGGAGGTCTTCCACGACTTCCTTGGGGTTGTCCCGCGAGGAGATAGACCGGCTGGTTGAAGAGGAAGTTATCTACTAAGCCGGCGTTGCGTGGTAGTGTTGGCTACTCTCCAGGCCAGGCTGCGGTGACATTGCGGTTACTCGGCCTTCTGGTAGTGCTTGCGCTGGCTTGGACGTTGATATCAGGCTGCGATACGGACCTGCCGAGGTATCGGAAGCCGACAGAGAGCGGGTAGTCGAGGAGCTGCAAGGCCGGTCTTTCCGTCAGTTCGATCCTCACCTGGACGCCAGTCCCAGAAAAGCCGTCATCCTCGATTTCACATGGGGGCATCACTCTCTGGGCGCAATATTCCGAAGAGGGCCATGCGGTGAACGAATGGGAGATCTTCGCAGAGAGCTATAGCGTTGAGGAAGTGGGTCCGAGTATACCATCCGCTTCAACGAGGTGGGGTCTGCGCAGGGGTTTCCCTCAGAGTGCGATGACTGCATTCCAACGACGGGCGTCTCCTTCTCCATCAGGGACGTCTTCGATAGCGAGAAGATGTCCTTCAGGCTGAACGACCCTGACAACGTTCTCCCGCTACCTTTCCCTGTGTTCGGGTCATGGACAAGATTCAATGAGGACGAGTACTTTAATTGATCCCCAAGGCCAGCGTTGCAATAAACTCCTGGACTCATTCCCAGGTATGCTCAGCTAATAGAGGTCGCAGTGATAGCTAGTTGCCGCCCGTTTTTGGCAGGAACGGAAGAAGCTTGTCCGCCAGGGAGGCGAGGTTTCGGGTCTGGACCCAAACGTGTCCGTTGCCCTGAACTTCATCACCAGACCCTCTCCGCCGGCGATGAGCGAGCGCATTCCGCCAACCTTGCGATGGAGTAGTCCACGTCATCGGTGAATGCTACCAGGTGGCCTGTGTCCACAACCAGTTCTTGACCGGGTTCAACCGGGACCTGCTTGATGGCGCCGTAGGAGTTGTAGTAGACCGTCCCCATTCCCTCCGTGGAAAAGGCCCTTATGAAAAACAGGCTTTCGCCGCTGAAGACGCCCCTGAAGCCCTGAAACTTGGTGTCGGTTTCCACGTTAGCCGTACACGCCAGGAAGGAGCCGGACTGGACAAAGAGATTCGATCCGGGACGCAGCTCAAACTCCCCGATATCCCCCGGTGAGTTGGGGGCAAGGCTCACCCGTCCGCCGCCTCTTTCCGCGGTGAATGTGTTGACGAAGAAGGACTCTCCACCCACCATCCTCTTGAGCCCGCCCAATAGGCCTCCGCCTCCTGTGCCGGTTTTCATCTCCACGCCGTGTTGGAGCACCATTGCTCCGGGCTCCGCCTTGATGGATTCACCCGGGTCCAGGTCAACGGGTCAGCATGGCGTAGCTGGGGTCGAATTCAAGGGTGGTCTTCAAGGTCTGTCCTCCTGAATTTCATAGGTGTCTCTTTCCATCATACCCATAATTCCAGCGCCAGTAGCCACATTCACAGCCAGAAAGCGCACGGATGGTTGACCTTGACGCAGTCGGAGTGAGAGTAGAAGGGCGGCCCGGTGTCGGCTCAGGAAAGGAGGAAGTGGGAGGCGCGGTCACGCCTTCCGACGCCCAGGTTCTGCTCGATTCTTCTGCTCACGTAAGACATGTTGTAGGTGAAGATCCAGAAGACAAATGCAAGGAAGATGAACAGTTCCTTTGCGCTGGGGATGAACTCCGGGTTGCCCTGTATGTATGCTCTGCCGATCTCCACCACGTCAAGCATACCGATAATGTACACGAGGCTGGTGTCCTTGAACAGGGAGATGAACTGTCCCACTATAGCCGGAATCACGTTGCGAATGGCCTGCGGCAGGGTGATGAACATGGTGATTTGCCAGTTCGGCAGCCCGAGGGACGCCGCCGCCTCTGCCTGTCCGCGATGAATTGCCTGCAAGCCCCCTCGGATGTTCTCGGCCATGTACGCAGCGCTGAATAGAGTGATCACTATACCGGCGCGGAACAACGAGTTCTGAGGAAAGTCTTCCGGGAAGGCAAGGGGCACCAGCGTTTGGGACATGAAGAGGAGCGTTATCAGCGGCACGCCGCGGAATATCTCAATAATGCTACGCACAGCAGCTTGACCAGCGACAAGTCGGCGCGCCGCACCAAGTTCAGCACCGTTTTCGCTGGGCAGGACTAGAGCTAACTCGACGACGGTGAGCAAGACCAGAGTGACCCCAGTGAGTAGGAGCGGCACAGTGCTGCTCAGCAATCTCTGCACAACCTCGGCAGCGCCGGTAAACGGAAACAGGGCAAACAACAAGATATCCTTGAGAGCGAGCGCCGACATCACAATGCCGATGAGCAAGAGTAGCGCAATGACAATGCGCAGGGGTAGCCATCGGCGTATGTTGCCGATGAGCCAGCTCAGCAGAATGCCGGTAGGCAGACTCAGGTTGCTGCGCCGCCCGAGCGCCAGAGCGATGCCAATGGGGAAGCTTATCACTATTCCAGCCACAGCCAGAAGCAGGTTCAGCATAAGGCCGCCCCAGTGGATAACGGACACAGGCTGCAGACCCGGCACTCCCGGCAATCCTCTTAGCAGGACCAGCGTGATGGCAAAAGAAAGCACGGCCAGTATGGCCAGCCAGCGTGTGGTGCCCAATGGTGTGTACCGGGCCAGGGCCCAGCCCACTGCCAGAGCCGGGATGTTGGCTAGCAGCAGAAGGCGCACGTCCATGCCCATCGTGTCCAGGCTGTAGGGCAGCAGGGAGAACGCTGCCAGTACCACTACAATTCCTATGGCAAAGCGCTTCGTCAGCCCTCCGCCGGCCACCACCCACGCCATGCCAAACAGCATGGTCACCAGCATCAGGGCGGCTTGAGGTCTCCAGAAGCAGTCCTGTCCAGGGCACGCAGCCTCGGTATTGTACGTGCCGATAATGAATCGACCGCCCAGTGTAGGTATGACTGTCCATTCGGACTCCAGAAGCAGCCATTTAAGCCCGAACCACGTGGCAGAGCCCAGAATAATGCCCACCGAAATTGTCAGGGCGGTGTTGAATTTGTTGCTGAATAGGTTGGCGTGGAGCCAGCCAATCAACCCACGCTCCGTGATGGGCGGCAGCAGGACCGGTGCAGGAGATTGTATGTCGGGATTGGTTGACATCGGACTGGCCTCAGGAGAAGCGGATGTGACGGTTGTACAAGTTTCCAATCACCGAGTATGTCAGGCTCATGGCCAGGTACGCCAGCATTATCATAATGATTATGGACACCGCGGGCGCCGTCTGTGTCATGGTCTTGCCTACGTTCATGAGATCCGAATAACCTATGGCGGCGGCAAGACTGCTGTTCTTGGTAAGGTTCAGGCACTGGCTGATCAGTGGGGGGATGATGACCCTCAGCGACTGCGGGAAGGTCACGTTGCGCAGGGTATTCATATAGGTCAATCCCAGTGACCGGGCCGCCTCGGTCTGCCCGCGGCCGACGGACTGAATGCCGGCCCGGACGATTTCGGCAATGAAGGACGAGGTGTAAATCACGAGGCCCAGCATTAAGGCGATCAATCCCCCTGAGGCGGTGAAGCCGCCTGCGAGTCGTTCGAAAGTCCCCTGGGGCACCGGTGTTGAGATGTAAAAAGGCGCTTCGCCAACCGCGACGCTGATGGCCAGCCAGCTGATGGCAGTGGTAAGAACGGCGGTGACAATGCCCAGCGTCAAGGGATAGGATGTCGCTCCGGTCATGAGCTCGCGCCTTGTCATAACGCGGTGAACAATTACCCCGGCGATAATTGCAACTATTGCCAGTCCCAGAAACACTAGCCCCGCGTCAAGTCTGGTCGCATACGGCCATGGTAGGGATATGCCGCCGTTATTGATGAACACTCTGTCGGCGATGACGTGCCCTTGGCGGACCTGTGGCAGCGCCAGGACTATGTAGAACCAGAAGAACAGCTGAATCAGGAGCGGCACGTTACGGAAGAACTCAATATAGGCCAGCGCCGCTCTGGAAACGAGCCAGTTGCCGGACATGCGGGAGACGCCTATGAATATTCCCAGCGCCGTTGCAAGGATGACGCCTACGATAGAGACTACTATCGTGTTCGTGGCTGCGACGCCAAAAGCGTAGAGGAAGCTGTCAGATGACTCGTAGGGCAGGAAATGCTGCCCGATAGGTGTCTGATATTGGCGAGACAAAAAGCTGAAGCCATACGGGATCTCTCGATCCCGCATGGCTCCGCTGATGTTCAGGAAGAACCACGCTACAAGGAACACCACCAGGAGGCCGGAAGTAACCTGCAACGCCCCCTGGATAACCCGGGTATGCCGCCAGAGCGGTATGCCCTTATAGGTCAGTCCTCGCGGTATGGCCGCCATAGTGATTTACCTCAGAGGAGCGGCGTAAATCTGCCCTCCCTTGGGACAATCGGTGCAGCGAGCGTCGGACCACAGCGCGTTCCGGCCGTTCTCTCTGGGCAGGTTGATGCCCTCGGCCCCCAAGTTGCGCTCGTAAATCTCTCCGTAGTTGCCAACGCTGCCAATTACGTCCTGTGCCGCCGTCTGACTAAGGCCCAGGGTTTCCTGACCGTATGAGCCCGACAGGCCAAAGAGCCGGTCGACTACGGTGTCGCCCGTTTCGGCGGTTGGCACGTTGCCGGAGTTCACGCCGTAGGCCTCGGCGTAGATGAGCATACCCATAACTGTCTTCACAATGTCGTACCACTGCTCATCGCCGTGGGGTACGACCGGGCCCAGAGGCTCTTCGGAGATGGTCTCCGGCAGGATGACGTGTGCGCTCCTGTCGGCGAAAGCGGTGCTGATAGCGGCCAGCTGCGACCGGTCATTGGTGAAGGAGTCGCACTGCTGGCTCTCATATGCGGCCACAACCAGGTCGGTGTCCTCAAAGGTCAGCGCCGTGATGTTCAGGTCATACTGGTTGGAGAAGTCCTGCAGGTTCAACTCTGTAGTGGTCCCCTGCGTCACGCAGACCGTAGCGTCCTTCAACTCCAGCGCGCTGGAGATATTCAGGTCCTTCCTGACTATGAAGCCCTGGCCGTCGTAGAACATGGTCTGGGCGTAGTTGCCCCACTGGGCGTCGCGTGAAGTGGTCCAGGTGACAGTCCTGACCAGCATATCAACCTCGCCTGACTGTATGGTGGGACCACGCTCGGCCGCTGAAATCAGGCGGATCTCAATGGCGTTGGGGTCGCCCAGCACGGCGGCGGCAAGTGCGCGGCAGAGGTCAATGTCGAAGCCAACGTTGTTGGCGGCGGCGTCCAGGTACCCGTAGCCGGGTACGTCGTTGCGGCTGGCGCAAATTACATGGCCGCGCTCCATCACGGT